AACTGTTCCCACAGTACCCTCGTTTGAATTTTGGCTGGCATGACCCAAATCTCCAGTGGTTTCCCAGTCCCTGCAAGTGGTTGCTCACCTCCCTTTTGTCCTAAGCTCGCTGCCTCTTCCTCCTTAGGGTCTGCTCACCTCCAGGGTTGGTCACTGACTTTTCTGGGCCAGTGACAATTTCCCCACCAATTTACTATTGCGCTTCCTCTGTCTCAAGCCATTTGTACCAACTTTGAATATGTCTAATCTGTCCTTGTTCCTACTGACTCGTCACCTTTCAAGAAGAAGGGTTTTCCACAAGGCCCCTGGGTTAGCGAAAACATGAAAATGGGGAGCACAGCTCACTCCAACCCTCCCTCATCTACCATGTGCACTGGTGGCCCTAGGCCTTCTTGCCTCAAATTCCTCAGAACTTGTCTATCGAGGGTGCAGTCAAAGAAGGAAGCAGTGATCAGAGGCCCATGTCTTATCCCCTCACCCATTCCTAGTCCCAAGATAAGAAATGGTCCTGGTTCATGCAGCCTCCTTGGGCTGCAAGGACAGTGACTGCCCTCTGAGTGTGCGTTCATAGACCTGGTATCCACCAGAGGAGTTCACCCTGAGGGATGCTGGAACATTGCAAGGGGCAGAGCAAGCACTGGGTAGCCCTGCCCAGACACCCACACACCTCTCAGTGTTGGCTCCCGCTCCTTCAGCAGGTGCAGCACTTGGATTTCTCCAGTCCCTATCAGGGCGGCCACCCTATCAGAAGGCAGTAACAGGTTCATGTCCTTTGAGCCCACCCATGACTAAGGCTTCCACGTTAGCAGCAGAGCTCATTTCTCCTTGGCCAAAGGCTTCTGTCTTTCTCAGTTTAGCAACATGTGGCAACAGCAGAAATGAAGGATGCCGGTCTCTGTTGGTCTCTTCAGGTAATACTTGCAGCATGTGGCCTTACTTATTGAAATAGATCTTCAAGAAACAAGTGAACATGACTTCCTTTTTCCTACTGTACCTCCTCTTGGTCAGTGCGTCAGGCTCTAAGTCTCTGGGTTGCCACCTTTCTCATTTCCATAAATGTCTATGCTTCTACCTTAAAAGTCCCAATCTCTCTCCCAACCCAGTTCTCCTGAAGGCCCACCACGCAGGTATATGTCTGGTTTACTAAATCTATTGAGTATCAGACTTAGTATGTAAGCAATTTCCCTGCCTTTGCTTTTTTAATTCTCCTGGTGCCTGATGAGTTAGATTCTGTTATCTATCATCACCATTTTGATGTTGAGGAAACAGGCTGAGAGTTAAGTAGCTTGTCCAAAATTCTGCAGTTGGTAGAAGGGCCAGTCAGTGGGCAGTTGGCCTTGAACACCTGAGGGATTATAATGCCTTCCTTGTAGGTAATGTTGGGTTTGTCACCTGTTGCTCTGAGTTTAAGAAAGTGACTTGGACGGTTCAGAATCCATCCAGAACAATCAATAGCACAACAAATTTGGGCTGGGTGAGTTTCCATTGCCTCATTCTTTTGGGAACTAACAAAAATCACCTCGCTTTGTTGACTTTGCTGTTCGACCCACAGAGCCATGTAAAAAATGCATGAAATCTATTAGATGATCTGTTTGCCTGTGTGGCAAACACTCTTCCTGTTTGCTCTGCCATACAGTCCCCTTTGTCATATTTAAACATTTGATTTAATCCCTTAAATCAACACTGGGAGTTTTTCTTATGAAAAAGGGAGGATGGAGCTAATAAAAGTGAACAAGTTGGGGACAGTATTTGTTGGGGGTATCCTGGAGGGTAGTGATGGGTCAGGGTTGTCAAAGGAGCTTTAGTATCAATGATGGTGTCTCTTAACCTGGGTTCTGGTAACTCGGGTATCACTTTGTGAAAGCTCATCAAGCTATCCACTTGGGAGGTGTACTTTCTCACCAATCTCACCCCTGCCTGGACCACCTCCACCTTCTCTTGGTAGGCTCCCCCCTCATCTGTCCCTCCTCAGCAGGGCCTCCCACGAGTCCTTGGTTGAGATGAGGTTTCCCTGTAAAACCCTCCACAGCACTGACACAAGTGAAAGTATCTAGCTCTTTCTGTGGGCATTGGTTTCATGTGTGTCTCTCCGCTAGACAGCAACCAGGGCTTTCTGTGTCCACTGGGTCTGCCACTGGGTCTTCTGGGCCTGGCCCAGGTGGCCACTGGGAACTAGTTGGTAAAGGAATGATTGAGGCTAGAGAGAGGGAAGCAGATAGAAAGACAGAGAGATAGAGGGAAGAAGAAGATGAGAGGAGGGGAAGAGATCTGGTATTTTGAGGCATGGCCAGAGGCTGGCAAGGGTGAGCACTTGTGAGGGTGTTAAATGAATGAGTGAAGAATCTCCTGAGAAAGAAGTCTTTCCAACAGAAGGTGGACTCTCTGTGGGCAAGCTTGGCTCATATGGGAGTTGGGGAAGAGGGGGACTCTGAGCCCAGTCTATCTCAGATTTTCTTTTGGTTCAGGGGAAGTTGCTGTGAGTTAGACGAAATTTTCCTCTACCCTCCAGGTTCTTTGGATAGTCTAATCCTATACAATAAAAGGCTAATATGCAAATTGTCCCCTTGGGAGTTCAACCCCTATGCATGCACTGACCACCAGAGGGCAGTGAAGAATGAAGGAAATCCCCAGCTGGCAGCGCCAGAAGGCCCCCATCAGCCCTGATTGCCATCCGGGCCTAGAGACTCTACCCATGCATGAGTTTTGTGCACCAGGCCTCTAGTAATGAAATAAACACAAAACAGATCAATAAGAGGAAATAAAAGGAGTTAATTCATGCATGGGTATGGGAACCCTGAGGACATGAGAGTACCAGAGCCCCACCTGCAGGAGGGCTCAGAGAGAAGGCACTCTGAGCTAGGGATGAGGTAGCCTTGAGAGCTCCAAAGAGTCCTTTCTGGATAAGAAGAGCAGATGTTTAGTGAACAGGAGTTTGTCCTGCCTACAGATAGCTCAGAAGAGGTTGTCTCAGATAATCCCTTATGGTCAAGACCCTGATTCAGGCTCTTCTTTGTAGTTTGTGGAGGGACAGAAGTTTCTCTTGAGCTGTGGCTAAAATTGCCTTTCACTCAAAACAATCCACAAACCAGAGGCCCATTTGGGGTGACTCGTTCTGAATCCCCACACTGAAAAACAGAGCAATTTCTCTGTGATTCTATAGGACACAGAAAGCCTGAGGTGGGAGTCACTGGGTGCAGGTGGCAGCCCTGGGGACAGCCGAGGTGCTGGCAGAAGACATGTGAGGTGGCCACACAGTGGTGATGACAGTGAACATCTGAGGTGCAGCCCTGGTGGCCCAGGCTAGGGCAGCCACAGCCAGGTCTGCACATTTGGCTGCCATGGCAGAGGCCTCAGTTGGCCTTGAGACACAAAGGCCATTGTATACAGGGAAGGCAGTCACACCTCAGTGGACAGTGGGTCCCTCCATGTCAGAGCAGATGCGAACTGCCCAAAAGGGAAGGATCTGAGGGGCATGGTACACTTCCTCACACCAGAGGAAGTCAGCTGGAAAGTCTCAGCTAGAGGTCACTGGGTTGATGACCCCAGGCTAGAATTCTCTGGAACACACAAGCCACTGAGCCGTGGCTTTCAAGGAGCACATATGAATGAGCAGAGAGAATATCTGAGAGCCACTGAGGCCCCCAAAGCAAATAGGCCCTTGGTTTGGTGAACAGGTCTTCCTTCCAGTCCCTCGCCTCGGCCATTCTTACGGCAGAACTGACACCACAGCCACTTGGCTCCTGGCTCCAGGAACACTCCTCAGGGGGTGTTTTCCTTTTTTAACTCAGTATTCCCAAAGACTGCTCTGGAGTGACAGGGGGAGCTTCTTTTTATGACACGGGAGAAGACAAAACTATCATCAGCAAGCAGGAAAACTTACTTTTCTATAGGCACTGTCTCAAGGTATACTGATTGGGTAGGACTTTCTAAAGCATTTTCACATCCTTTTCCTTTTTCTGCAACTATGGCTTTCAAACGTTTTTGATTGCATACCCTCTTAGTGAAATCGTTTTGAGCACACGCATATGTATATTTATTCATTAATTACGCTTAAACAAGAGTGTGTTTATTGTTTACTGTATTTATAGTCAAAGTCCTAACAGAGTGTGTCCCCTGGGATATAGGCACCCCAATAAATAAATATGAGGGAGACGAGGCTGGCATTGGAAACCACAGTTAACAAGTTAATCAACTAAGCGTCAGAGTAGGGGGAGGTGTGCTCAAGTCAGAGAGCCAGCAATTGTAGGACTGAGATAAAAACCTGGGTTCAGGCCTTGAGTGAAGCTCCTCACCTATGGTCCTGCCTCCCAGGTGCGTGGGCTGAGCCACACTTCCCAAGCGCTCTCATTCCCAGTCCCATCTCTTCCCCCCGCCCCAATCCGGGGATGGATCCCATCACATCTGTTCCCAATGATTCCCACACTCCTCTTGCTGCCCTAGTTTATCACCCCTCCTATAACCTAGGAGGAGCCTCGCCACCAGGGTTCTGCAGGCAGGAAGCATCTGCTCTCCACACCTCATTGCTTTCTCTCCCTCCATTAAGCAGGGGTGACGCCAAGACCTTCCCGAGTTGCCCAGTCCCCATTCTGCAGTGATCTGTAGAGAGATGGTCTCTCCAGCAGGAAGACCAAGCAATGGGATTTACTAAGCGGCCAGTCTTGATCTGCAACACATGACGAAGGGGCTTCCCTGTGTGAGAATGAAGCAGGCAGGAAGCTTGCTTCTCGGGTGGTTTTGTAGAAACACAATTCCCTGAAGTAAAATAAGCTGAATATCTGGAAACAGTGAGAAACCCAAAACCCAGGCAGCCAGGAAATCTGCAGCTGGGGGCACCAGGAAGTGAGAAGGGATCAGGTGGCAATTGTCTTGGGCCCAGTATGGGGAAGATCTTGCAGTTAAATCCAATGTCTCCTCTCAGAGAGAGGCGCCCAATGTTTGCTGATTATTGTTTAACTGAGGTGGGGCAATGCCTAGGGTGCCCTTATAAGGAAGAGCCTTAGGGGAAGAAGCAAACAGATGCCAGCTGCCAGCACTGAGGGCTGCAACTTCACTCCCCCAGAGAGACTGCCTCTCTCAATCCCCAGGCTGTGCTGAGCCCTGGGACCTACTGGGATCCAGATCCCTTCGGGAATACTGCTGACACCGAGTGCTCCAACAGACATACCTGTTGGAATCAGGTAAGGTGTGAATGGTGACCTCCCAGAGCTTTGGACCAAGAGAGTCTCTTAAAATTATGTAGATTCCTAATCTCCAACCCCAGAAATATGTTTTCAGTAGCTCTGAAAGCTGTATTTTTGATGTGGTGTGTAAGGATAAGCTTTAAGGAAACCCAGGGCAAAGGATGAATTGACTCCCTAAGAGAGTCTCTCTTAATCATTGAGTCACTTTTGCTTTCTACTCATGCAAAGCTACAACCTTGAGCACTGCATTGACCATAACAGATACCCCCATCTGTGTCCCCCATTCATAGTTTCTAACTCATGGTCAGTATTTAATACTGAGGGGAGGAATGGGGCCCAGGCCTGGCCTTCTGTTCTCTAATGAGCCAGCTGAATAATGATACGATCAGAGTTGAAAAATCTGGGTTAGTCCCAAAAACTAAGGGCCACTTCAGAGGTTCAGGTGGTTCCTATACCCCTGCAGCTTCTTCCCAGTCAATGCTTGTGCCTCTGTGGCTGCTGGAGGTGTATCATCCTGGAGATGTGATCCTGGTCTCAGAGAGAAGAGCTCACGCTGTTTTGCTTGAAGCCAAGCTAACCAGGTTGCAATAAGTGCGGATATGTTTCCTCTGTAGTTTCAGTTGGGTTGTGACCTGCCCGCTGCCCGTTTGTTCTGGCACACACAGAACTTTGCTGATGCCTGGGTGGCATTCCCTGGATCTCCAGTTGCCACATCCTCCTGAGTTTCGCATTGTAACCTGCTGGACCCAGACTTTGTGGGTGATAGCTGCAGGAGGACTCAATTGGTAGCACATTGGTTGATGCCAATCTATTTCTACATATATATATAAAAGGCTAAGTGACTGACTGTATGTCCATCCAACCAACCAACTGACCGGCCAGTACATATGATGTGCACTGGCAATTTAAAAATAATCATTGATTCACGCATGTGCAATACATGTAAAGGTCTCACTGGTGCCAATTGCACACGTGTTTTAATTTTATAATACCATATTATATATGCTATTTTGACATGTAATTTCTTGCAGTAACGTAATTACCACATGAGTCTTTCTTCTAATTAATTTCCTTTCACAGTGCACGAATCTGTGCACTGGGCCACTAGTGTAGTAATAATCTGCCAACTGTGTAATAGGGAAGAGTTATGTGTAACATGAGTTCATTATATCCCATTTATAGATAAAAAAAAAAAAAAAAAAAAAAAAGTGAGGTACCTGGTGAGTGACTTGCTGCTGAGTGCACACCAGATGCAAACAATGGAGCTAGAGCTAGATTATTCCCAGGACACTGTCTTATCCCCCTGTTGGTTGTATTCAGGGAGGGATTCACTAGAAAAAATGCCTTAGAAGAAGAGGTGTTATCAAGAAATTACAAACTAATGACCCAAGTATTGGCATTGGGTGCTTCCTCTCTTTCCAGCACTGTGCGTGCTCTCACCATTTGTGTCATGTGATACTACCATTTGGGCATGTTACTTAACCTCTCTGGGTCTCCGTTTCCTCATCACTAAAATGTATTAACAACAGCCTCTGCCTCACACAATTACTGAACATATTAAACGATATATGCGAAGTCCTGGGCAGTGGCTGGCCCATGGTCCATGTTCAAAGAATTTTAGTGCATACTGTTTATGTTCCTTGAGCCTGGAAGAGAGCTGACGCTGAGGTTAATATTCTTGCTCTGCCACCTGGGCCACAAGGGATCCTTAAAACCGAGAGTGGCCAGGACCTCGGCTTGATTTCTCTCTGACAGGAGGTCCCTTGGGCAGCACGCTGGTCAGCCCTCCAGTGCCCACCTCCTCTGCCGGAGGGTCAAGCCCTTGCAGCTCAGGGAACTGAGCAGCCTGTGGACAGAGATTCTGAGGGGCAGGTCTCCAGCAGAGCTGACCATGCACACCTGCCTTCAGAGCCCACATCTGGGTCCGCTTAACTCTCAGGTGCCTGAGGAAGGAGGTCAGGGACGTTTTCCTTGTTCCCAGTCAAACGTTGTCCTCGCCCCCCTCAAGTCCTTACCCAGAGGTGTCTGCCAACCAGCTGCGCCGTGTTGCTCAGCATTGTCTCTGAAACGTCCAGCTTCTTCTCAGAAAAGGAAGGTAAGAGACTTGCCTGAGGCAGAGATTCAGGGGGAGGCCCTCAGATGGCTGGCTGCCAGGCCACCATAAGCATGTTCCTTCCAGTCAGCGGCTGTCCTAATCCAGTGTTGCTTCTTCCAACTCGGTTCTCAAACCTTGTCTACTCACTTAATTGGGTCATTTTATCCAGATAGACACAGGACTACCCCAGTCCCCTGCCTGCCTCACCTTGGGAAGTGGTCACGCGTCTTTCCCAACTCACTGTAGAGTTGCACGGATGGAAAAATTCCCTCTTTCTGTTTATTCCTCCCTTCTCTGCTCTCGCTCCTCCTCACCTTCTCTGTTTTTCTCTCTCCCTCCTTCCTGCCTCCATCTCTTCTTCTCTGTCCTTTACTCTCTTTCTCTCCTCTCTCCCTCAAACCGTGCCTCTCTCCTTCCCTCTCTCTCTTTGTGCTCTCTCTCTCCCTTACTCTACCTCTCTTTTTCCTGGTTTCCCCTCCTCTTCCTCTCCCTCCATAGCCCAGAGGTGTGTCCAGGTGGCATACAGCTAAAAGTGGTTTTGTATTTTTTTTTCCCACCAGAGAACAGTTAAGTGCCTTATTTTCTCCACTTGGGTGGCTAAATTATTCTCGATGTGTTAAACAGTGTAATTAAACACATACACACGCGGGCGCGCCGCGCCTTCCCCCACCCTCCCTCGCTCCTTGTCAGCAGAGAGAGCGTGGGCCCCAGCCTTCAAGCTCTGTTAGTTTTAATTTGAGTTGTGGAATTAGTAATGGGTTTTGCCGGAACACTGCTGTGGGAAATAGATCGCTCCTAGAGCAGGGCTTGGGCACCATTTCAAATGAGTATTTGTTAAGGGGAAACCGTCCCTTGTCGTGTTCTGCTACATTACATCCGATTTATTTCCATTGTTCGGAGAAACACCAGCCAGGAGAGAGCGGTGAGCACCACTCCTGGGCAGGGAGCGCCCAACGCTGCTGCCTGCTTCTTGCTTCCCAGCTGATGGGAAGCAAAATGCAAGACAGAACCACCCTTGGTCGCTGGCACTTGCTAAGCTCACCCTGGACACCCTGGCAAGCCTGGCACCTGCCGCTGTGAGGCCCAGGGAGCTGCTGCCACTAGCAGGAATGAAGGGGTGGGTGGTGGCAAACATACAACATTGAAGAAAAGCAATTGAGTGGAGAGGACCCCTACAGGTCAAAGTTGGAAGGGACCTTTCTTTCCTCTTTAAGGGTGATTTTGCAGCCCTTCCCCCGCCCCCATTTTTTTTATTAGGGTATTATATGTGTACATATCTTACCAGCCCCCCCCCCCTTACTCCCATACATGCCCTCCCTTCCCAGAGTTTTGTGACCTTTGGTTATGCTTATATGTATGCATACAAGTCCTTCGGTTGATCTCTTATCTCCCCCATATCTCCCTACCCTCCCCACTGTAATTTGACAGTCTGTTTGTTGCTTTACTGTCTCCGTATCTATCTTTTTGGTCATCAGTTTATAATGTTCCTTATTATCCATCAATGAGTGAGATCATGTGGTGTGTTTTTTTGTTTTGTTTTTTTTCATTGACTGGCTTATTTCACTCAGCATAATGTTCTCCAATCCCATCCAGGTTGCTGTAGCCCTTTTAATAATTGTCCCACTGCAGCTTGGTCATTCATCGTGGTATGTTGTCATTCATCGCCTTGGCAGGTCTCTTCTTAGGCATTGTGCAATGAGGCAGCCACTAGCGGGGGTGGGGGGGGTGTAAATTTCAATGAAAGTTAAATGAAACAGAATTTCAGATTCAGTTCCTTAGTTGCACTTGCCATCTTTCAAGTGCTCAGGAGCCATGGTGAACGGTGGCTACTATCCTGAACACAACTCTGGGACCTGGAGAAACCTCCGGGGTAGACCAGGAGGGACCTAGGCAATGTCTGGGGTGCTCACTGCCTGTTACAGGGCCTCAGTCACTGGGCTCAAGTTTAGGGCCAGGCTCCCTAGGGAGAGTGATGGTCACGAGACCTACCACATAGCTTTTACTATGTCCTATGCCAAGCCCTTTGCAAGAATCGTTTCATCTAATGCTCACCTAATACTTCGAGACGGGTTTTGTTGCCACCAGCCAACCCATTTTATGTGTAAGGAAAGGAGGCTGAGATATTCAGGTCATTGCTCAAGATCATTCGGTCACTAAGCAACATCCGGATTCAAACCACAGTTTCAACCTGACTCCTCACATGCTTACTCACCATCCCATGATGTCATGTTTTTTTTATTCTAAGGGACAAGGCAAAGCTCCGTTTTTCAAACAAGACCATAAGATTATTTCTTTGTCTTTGATGTTTGCCATTTTAATTATGGTAAGTCTAGGTGTGGGTCTTTAGGGTCAGTGAAGAAGCAAGGGGAGCCTCATTGTGGGACCAGAAGTGATTAAATCTCTGCTCGCTCTGACCAGGATTATCCTGGAGGGCTAGGAAATAGGATTCAGGGCTGGCTCTCAGTCTGTCTTTCTCCCAGTCAACATTTCTAGATTTCCAGTTTCCAGGAAGTAATCTCTAGGTTCCTGGTGTGTTTACCTAGTGGTATGTTTGTGCAATTAGAAACAGTCACCACCTTTTCCAGGTAGAATCCTATATAATAAAAGGCTAATGCCCAAATAGACCGAACAGTGGAACAAGCGGTCGCTATGACATGCACTGACCACCAGGAAGCAGACACTCAACACAGGAGCTGCCCTTTGGTGGTCAGTGCGCTCCCACAGGGGGAGCACCGCTCAGCCAGAAGCCGGGTTCACAGCTGGCGAGCACAGCTGCGGTGGTGGGAGCCTCTCCCACCTCCACGGCAGCATTAAGGATGACCGACTGACAGCTTAGGGAGCGGGCCTAACCCATCAGTCGGACATCCCACAAGGCTCCCAGACTGTGAAAGGGAGCAGGCCG